AGTTTTAAAAAATAATAAAAACGAAATCGCAATATTTCGGTTTTTCTCGGATATTTCCGGAACGGCTTGGAATTTTCAAATTTGTAAAACGGGATCTTGTTCGGTATCAAAATGCGCAACTTTTGTCTAATTTAACCGACACTGTATCTCTTATAGTTTCCGAGATCCCCATGCTGTGCATCCTTATCTTGGACACACTGTATATAAGCCAAGCCAGCATATAAAACGCAACAAAGAGACGAATCCGAGGAAAACCAAGGAAGATGAGCTGCTGATAGAAATGAAAGACACGAGCTTTGCGGACCTCCTTAAGGCCGTTAAAACTGCTGTAGATCCTAGCGCCATAGGCGTCGACGTTGGACAACTTAGAAAAACAAGCAACGGCCAAGTCTTACTTACCGTCAATAATGGATCCGATCGAGCTGACTTGCTAAAAAGGGAAATTGGTGAAAAGGTACCCGGTGCCACTGCACATTTGCTAAAAAGCAAAAAAGTTCTCCACGTTAAAGACCTGGACGAAGTTATCACAACTGACGAGATCAAAGAGGCTGTTTCTAAGGCAACGGACACCAACCCCAGTAATGTAGACGTAAGAGCTCTCAGACCAGCTTACGGAGGCAGGCAAAATGCCACCCTAATTGTAAGCGAGGCGAAAGCAGAAAAACTTATCAATCTTAAGACGATAAAAATCGGCTGGACTAGTTGCCGAATTTACGAAAGGCAGAAAGAAGATCGATGCTTCAGATGCTGGGGATTAGGGCATGTCAAGTCGCAATGTAAAGGGCCAGATAGAGAAAAACTATGTCGGAAATGTGGGCACGAGGGCCACAAAGCAGATACATGCTCGAATAAACCATTCTGCCTCCAATGTAAAGCAGAGGGCCATCAAACCGGCTCCCCTAGATGCCCATCAAAAGTGCAGGCGGCGGTAGCGCCAAAGAAAGCAACCGCACCCACACAATCATCAGATTCCTCCAAATAAAAACCAACAGAAGTCGCGCAGCCCCAAGATCTGGCGCTGGCAACCGCGATAGACATGCAAGCAGAAGTGTTGATAGTAAGCGAACCCAACAGAATGGCAAAACAGAATAGAAAGGACTGGATTAAGGATAACGAGTGCAAAGCTGCCATAAAAGTCATTGGAAATAACATAGCAATTAAAAGGCAGGGTAGCGGTTCCGGATATTGCTTTATAGAAACGGTAGACTTTACCATCTATAGTTGTTATTTCTCCGGCAACGACGAGATTGATCAACTGGACGAGGCCCTATTTGAAATCGGCAGGATGGTGCAAGGCAACAACGAAAAGGCATACTGACGCGAGTTGCGAAATGGTCACAGAGTGGATGGCCGCCAACGGCTTAATCACTGTAAACCAGGGAAACTCGCCAACGTTTCAAAGCCAAGGCTACGGCTCGATTCTTGATCTCACCATAGTGACTGAAGGCATCAGGATGAAAATCGGACAATGGAGAGTAGTTGAAACAGAAACGTTAAGTGATCACAACTACATTACTTTTGAAGTAAAAAATAGTGGCCCGACAGTGGTACGGCAAAGAGAATGCAGAGGCTGGCAAGTCAAAAAACTTGACAGAAATAAGCTTCACAATGCAATCGGGTCGCTTGGCGAAGACGGACCATCGGCAAGAGATTTCTCAGAAGAGTTGGCAACGCTGTGTGACATCTCAATGCCAAAGAAAAGGAGTTTCAGGAACAAACAGCCTGCGTACTGGTGGAATAGCGAAATAGCGGAACTTCGTAGAGACTGGCATTATTCGAGATGCACTAAGACCGTGGGAGGAATACAGAGAAAGCAAGATAGCGCCTCAGAGACAAAATCAAGAAGGCAAAGAAAGAGTGCTGGACGCGGCTCCTTGACGACGTTGATCGTGACATCTGGGTCGATGGTTACAAAATCGCGATGAAGAGCCTTTTTGGATTTCCGCCACGACCTAACCTAAGCATGGAAGCAACAGAGAAGATCGTACGACATCTATTTCCGTGTCATGACGCGGTATCGTTTGCTCGCGACGATGGTGCGAAGCCTGTAGTATTCACCGTGGATGAACTAATTAACGCTGTTGCGAAACTTAAGAACAAGAAGGCGGCAGGCCCTGGGGGGGTCCCGGCCGAAATCCTTAAGGAGCTGGTGGCGACAAAGCCTGAATATGTATTAGCCACCTATAATAAGCTAGCAGAAAAAAGCTGCTTTCCAGCGGAGTGGAAGGCAGCTAAGATGATCCTGCTGAGGAAAGGCGACCACACGGTGGAGAACCCATCGTCCTATAGACCAATCTGCCTGCTGGATGCAGAGGGAAAACTTTACGACCAACTAGTGATTGCACGCCTGCACAGGGAAATTGAGCGTACTGGTGGACAAACAGTTGATGCCATAGCAAGGGTTATTGAAATCTCCAACAAGGCTTCAAATTTCGCGCATGCAAATCGTAGACTAGCGGTTATAATAACTCTCGATGTCCGAAATGCCTTTAATAGTGCCTCGTGGCAATTAATCCTGGAGGAATTAAGAAAGCGCCAAATGGACGAAGGCCTAATAAACTTAATAGCGTCATACCTCTCTGACAGGGAGATCCTACTGGAGGCACAGGGACAGGCAAAGGGGATCGGCATAACAAGCGGAGTACCACAGGACTCGGTCCTTGGACCCACACTGTGGAACGTGCTCTATGATGGGCTTTTTGCGTTGGAGATGCCAAACGGAGTGACACTAATAGGGTTTGCCGATGACATCGGCATGATTGTGGTAGCAAAGAACGAGGAGCTCCTGATGTGCAACGCAAACACGGCGCTACAGAGAGTTGCGCGATGGCTTGAGCAGAGACGGTCGGCCCTAGCGCCGGAGAAAACCAAAGCAGTGTTGCTAACCACAAAACGGAAGATAGGCCACGTTGTTTTCGATGTTATGGGTAGTGAGATTGGCTTGAGTGATGCTGTTAAATACTTGGGAGTGTGGCTTGACAGAAAGCTAAGTTTCGCTGAGCACGTAAAGCGAACTGTGCAAAAGGCAGAAAAAACGACTTCTGTGCTGTTGTGTCTAATGCCAAACATAGGTGGACCAAGATCTTCCAAACGGAGACTTCTAGCGAGCGTGGTACACTCTCAGATACTGTATGGGGCCCCATCTGGAGCAAGATTACCGAGAATAAGAGACTAATAGCTGTGTTATCAACACTACAAAGAAAGCTATCACTGAGAGTGTGCAGCGCGTACAGAACGGTGTCCACGGACGGAATTGGCGTAATAGCGGGGATCCCGCCGATAGCGCTACTTATAGAGGAACGGCGGCAAAGATACTCAGGAGCAACAAAAAACGAAGCACGAAATATCCTCCAAACCAGCTGGCAAAAGAAATGGGACACGGGGACCTATGGACATACAACAGTGGATTAATCGCCCGCGTGGTGAAGTGGACTACTTTCTCACGCAGGCTCTATCGGGGCATGGTTGCTTTGGAAAATATTTGTCCGACCGAGGACGCGCCCAGACCAGTGACTGTCAGTACTGCGGCCTGTTGGACGACGTGGAGCACACACTGTTTCACTGCCACAGGTGGAAGGAACAAAGAACTATGTACTCATGTACAACAGGTACCAACTTCAACCCGCGCAACATGATGGCAAGCCTGATGGGTGAAGAAAATACGTGGAGGGAGGCGTACAGAGTGATTCAGAAAATTATCGAGACCAAGGAGAGAGATATTAGGGCAAACTGCAGTACATAGGTGGACCTGGGACCGGCCCTTGTACCGATGTAATGCGTAAGCGGTTTCCGGTACAAAGGTGCCTGCGTGGTAGATAGGGTGGGTTTTTTTAGTCGGTAGGCGGCAACACCACACTCTGTGTGGTGTCTGAATCCGACACAAGGCTAGCCAATTAAACACCAGGCTAGTATCGTCTTTTGAATATTTTTTTTAACACCCTCCAATATATATATATATATATATATATATATATATATATATATATATATATATATATATATATATATATATATATATATATACATATATATATATATATATATATATATATATATATATATATATATATATATATATATATATATATATATATATATATATATATATATATATATATATATATATATATATATATATATATATATATATATATATATATATATATATATATATATATATATATATATATATATATATATATATATATATATATATATATATATATATATATATATATATATATATATATATATATATATATATATATATATATATATATATATATATATATATATATATATATATATATATATATATATATATATATATTATTTATTTGCATTACTTGTTAATTTTATATTAAATTTAAACTTTAACTAAATTTAACTGATGTTAAAAAAAACTTAGATTAGGATATTATATAGGTTTGGTTTGATTTAGAATAAAATTGCAGAAGAACTATATATATGAAATAAGAATTAGACCTAAATAACAGTGCTAAATATAGGGTGCTCCATTACAAAAAAGAGTTTTTAAAACCTGAATAAAAACCATAAGGGGAATTTTTGGGGTGCTTTCAGTTCCATAACTATATTTTTTATCCGTTGTCACTTTCCTTATTTACAATAAACAGAGATGGATATTCACAAAGCACAAGTTATTGTTGGGGTCCCTGCACACCTACATAGAAAAGGTTCCAATCTACCGTGCTATAAAAGCATATTATATGCTATATCATTTAAAAACAGTGTTAAGAGATTTCTTCTAATATTTTAATCCTGTAAGTTTGATATCTCCTTAATTGTAATTTGTTGGCAACGGCAAACGGTAACCGATACTGCTTATGGACGAAAATGTCAAGAGTTGTTAGATCATGGATCAGTTAATGGGTCGTACTATCTCGCAACGCATGAGCGGTTGCTTAGAAGCTGCCTATGAAATTTCTAAGCCGGCTCTGACGAACTGTAATTATTTAATGAAATGCATCAGTCATCCGATAAATATATTGTTGATATCGTCAACTCAAACGTGCGTGATAACTATTTTGCTACATCTATTGGGTTCGAATATGATTAGATTTATAATTATTTTCGTGCTGTTTTTTGTGTCATGTGGCTATTGTGCGAACGTTTTAATCATTTTCCCTATGCCGGGAAAAAGCCATTACATACTGGGAAATGGTTTAGCAAAGGGTTTGGCGAAACACGGATTCAACGTGACTCTCGTGAGCCCGTTTGAGGAAAAACACCTGCCGGAAAACTATAATCAAATTGTTTTGGATGGGATTCTGAAAAAGATGGGTAAGACGTTTTACATGTAATTTCTCTTGTTTATCTATTTACATCCAACTAATTATAAAATAATACTTATTAAATTAGCTTTAACAAAATTGAATTTGCAAAATAAGGTTTCATATAAACGATCTTCCCCAAGTTAGAAATGCGCATTACAATAATGTGAGCGTACAGCGTGTTCAAGATAAGGATCCCAAGCAAGTGAAGTTTAGTATTTTCATAGCCTGCTGAGATAATTGAGATTGAGAGCCTTTCCTGATTTTTTTTGAAGAGATATCAAAAAACTATACATAATGATATTTTGTATTGACGTCTGTGGTTTGATGACTATCACTTGAAAAGTTTTTTACCTACCAATGATACAAGATATATTTTCTCCATTTTTTTAATTTTTCTACATAGTCTCCTTGTAACTCTATACACCTCTCTCGGCGTTGCTCCTACCTCTCTAACCTGTCTAGATAGTCCCCAGCGTTTTTCTCTGAAAAATAATTGTTCATTCCTCATTTGACGAGTGCAGTTTTCAGATGCGGGAACACAAAGAAGTCGCCTGGGGTTAGATCTGGTGCAGATAGTCAAGCAGTTCAAACCGTAATACGTAAATTTTTTTTGAAAAATGCGTCCGTTTTTCTGCAATTTCTGTCCTCATCTTCTCAAGTAATGATGCGTAGTATGCTCCTGTAGTGACTATTTCTTCTTGATTAAGATGACTTCATGGCTATCCCAAAAAACCGTCGCCATCACGTTCCCAGCCGAAAAAACAGTTTTTGCTTTTTTCGGAGTCGGTTCCTCCTTCGCAGTCCACGTTTTTAGTTTAACGTGAGTAAAAACGGGTTCCAAAGCGCGGGCAACTTTATCATGTCTAAATCTTGATCCAAATGCGACAAGCAGGTTCTTCGGACATTTTTATAACTTCTGCTATCTTTATCACTTTAATTTGACCGTCTTTCAACGCCATTTGATGAACTTCAGCAGCATGATCGTCGGTGATTATAATTTAAATTCAGCTGCCCAAATTTTCACTGTGGAAAATGACGATGCAGAGTCCCCATTCACAGAGTCCAACTCAACTTTAATTTGCGTATGCGTATTGCCTTCCAAAAACAAATGTTTTATAACAGCTTTATACTCTTTTTTTTTCATTTTCACTCAAACGACTCTCAACTAAAAAACACGGGTCCAAAATTGCTGAGACTTGGGTAAGTAACTATCAAGGAATGCACAGCTACGATCACTAGCTTTTAGTAACTAGCGCCGCCAGCTGCAGGGTCAAGTCGATAACAAGTGACTCTCGTATCTTATTTTATTAACATTTTTATTTGTCTTTTCTATGGTTTTTTTAAAAACTTGTGGTTCGTTTAGTAGGGACACATGTAATACTTGTTTCTTCACTTTACACACAATAAAATTTCGTTATTTATCTTTATTACGTTTTTATCTTAAAACTAACAGCAGCTGATACGCTAATCACATTTTGATGTCGTTCCCACTTTTCAAATATTTAATGTCATCTACTATGGCTACGATCTAATTACGTAAAAAAGTTCATATCGATTTTCTGAATATTATTATTATTTATTTATTTATAACAATAACCGGCATTTTTTTTTGGATTTTTTTTTCAAATCTTCGTTGCTTTTACTGGGATACCAGATATAACTATTGTAGATGCTTTTTTGTAAAGCAGTTCTATCAGTTTATTGGTTCTTCATTGGTCATTCATTACTTAACCATAGTTACAACTACTGGCAAGTTAGTAAGTGTATTACTTTAAACATGATTATGTTTATAAATTAAACGACAAAACCGTGAGCCAGAAAGAAACATAAAATATAAAATATATACAAGTTGTAAGCTTGAACTGAAAGTTTCCTTCCATGTTATATTTACATATAAAGGGGGATCCACAGAAAAAATTAAGATAAAAACATATTTGATTCTTATGATAGGCCCTGTATATTATACCCTTATATGCTATCCATTTAAATGGTTATTTTTGATTTTTAATCCAGGAAATACTAAAAACTAAAATTTCACTCAGCTATTTTTTCATTCGTTGTTCCATTTTTTGTTTTGACGTCTTTATTAAGTCAGTTTGACAGAAACACATTTGTTAAACTGTTTAATATTTAATATTTACGCTATGAATAATAACTATATTTATTAATATTATTATAAAACATACTCAGTATTTAACTACACTATTTATTTCTTTATTTAATTATTGTATTGGCCCAAATCTTGAAAGTGATCACCATTCATTTCCACACGTAGTCGATAGTCGTTTTTTAGTTTATCTATACCTTGAATAATCCATTTCGAATGATTGGTATTTATATTATTTATTTTAGTCCTAATTCTCTGTTTTATTATGTTTTCTTGCTTAGTAAAATAAATTTCATAAAAAAGTGTCTAGAACCGTAAGGTCTGCTGCTGTACTTATGACTTTAGTATTTATATGTGCACGAGTTATTATTCATAAGTTTAGTGGGTGGCAAGTTATCTGTTATATGGGGAGGTCAAAACTAATCAAATGAGTATTTTTTTTTAGAATTTTCATTTTTGGAAATTTCTCTTTATTTGATAAACCGTTTCAATTAGGAGTTTAGTCTATCGATTTAATTTAGGAAAGTATAAGAAAGAATTGTTTTTTATTCATCAATTGGATTAACAGATAATTAATAATTAATTATTCAATTTAAATTGATTGTTTAATTTTAGTTTATTTTCGATTCAATGAAGAAACAATTTAATTTAGAACCGCAAGGTCTGGACTGTTAGCTGTCTATATTGCTTTGTGTAGATCTATAGACTTCTCTACATCATTGGATTGGCATCTATCGCCTGATAATGCACCTACATAAAATATAGTGCCTACAATTTTGTTGTTTTTAATTCCATTCCAAGCATTTTCCGTAGACTCTCCATTGCGGTTTGCATTGGTTTTGTTTTTTAAATAATCTTAAATGATTTAATGCTGAGCTACTTAAATTAATAAAACGAAAAAATAAATTATATAAAAGCAAAGAGAGGAATTCTCTCTATAGGGCTGTAAAATATAGACCAAATAGGGTGATAACACTTTAAAGCAAAGCGGGAAGGGACAGATGTACCAATGTGAAAAAGCTCTAAAAATATTTTTTACAAACACAGAGTTGAAATCCCATAATAATGGCACTGATAAAATAGTTTATTTATATAATACTGTATATCATATAAATCAACAGTTTTTTGACATGGAAAAAATATTATGACAGAACTCGATTATGTTAGTCAAAAAAATAATTTTTACAGAAGTATATTCAAATAGATCAGTTTCAGTTTGGTTTCGATAATCAAAGCATTTAGTTAGCATTAATATTTTTTAAGAAAGCTGTCGTTTCTGGGAAGCCATATTTAAGAGGTAGAAAGCAATATTTTGAGTTAGATGATGCAAATGTGATATGTTGTCTAGTGATTGCCTCTAAGTTCTGCGCTGGGGCCATTACTGTACTGCCTTTACGTGCTAAATTTGAATAATGCTGTGCTTAGAGCATAATACTTGCTGGTAATACTATTCCAGTTTACAAAGGCGGGTGGAAAAAGCATCGAACAATAATGCAAATTTATAATATTTAATAAAAAAATGAGCAGGTTTAAAAGCTAATAAAAAAATAATAAATTAAACTACCTCAGAGCAAATTGAATATGTTAATAAAAGAATAATTCTAAAAATTCCAATAATATGCAAATGTAAAAATTACCTTACTGATAAAACGAAGTATTAGTATCTCTAATGCCTTTTCCTTCTCGCATCTTCTTCTTAGGACGCCGTCTCCCTTCGGAGGTTGGCGATCCAACTGGCAATAATGGTGCGTGAAACTGCACCTCGGAAAATCTCTATAGATGTCCGTCCAAATCATCGACGCAGATCCTTTAGCCACGAGTTCTGTCGTCTACCCACAGATCGTTTACCGTCGATTTTTCCTTCGATGACGAGTCGGAGGATGTCGTAACGTTCTCCCCTCATAACGTGTCCGATGTATTGAAGCTTCCGTTCTTTGATGGTTGCCAGCAGTTCTCTACCTTTACCCATTCTCCTCAGTACTTCCTCGTTGGTTATCCTGTCTACCCAGGGTATGCGCACCATACGGCGATACAAATACATTTCGAAGGCGTCAATGCGACTCTCCATTGATTGGCTGAATGTCCAGCTCTCGGCGCCATAGAGTAGCGCTGGGAAGATGCAGCAACGCAGTATGCGCATGCGGAGCTGTAGGTTCAAATCTCGACTGCTGAAGAGGGTCCTCATTGAGATGAAAGTCCTTTTGGCCTGTTCTATCCTTGATCTGATTTCCATTTTGGAGTCACTGGTCTCGTTGACAAGGGCTCCAAGATATTTAACGGACGACACTTGTTCCACGACCTGGTTGTTAATCCGGAGGACCGCCTGTTTTGGTGTCTTGGAGAACACAACCACCTTGGTCTTGGCAACGTTCATATGTAGACCATACTGTGTGCTGTGTTCCACGATGAGATCCATCATGTTCTGGAGATGTGGTAGGCTGCCGGCGAGCACGACCGTATCGTCGGCGAAACGTATGTTATTAATGAGGATGCCGTTGATCTTAATGCCTTCTTTCACGTCCACCAGTGCTTCTCGGAACACTGCCTCCGAGTATATATTAAAGAGGAGGGGGGACAGGACACACCCCTGTCTAACACCCCTTCTAATTTCCACTTCTTCGGATGTTGCACCTTCTACCCTAATCTCTGCAGTTTGATTCCAGTACAGCTGCGTAATGATCTTCAGATCTTCGGCATCAATACCGGTGTGTTTGAGAATCTCGATGAGCTTCTGATGCGAGACACAGTCGAAAGCTTTTCGATAGTCAATAAAGCAGGCATACACATCGACATTCATGTCCCTGCATCGCTGTGTGAGCACGTTGAGAGAGAAGAGAGCCTCACGTGTGCCCACACCGTTCCTAAATCCAAATTGCGTTCCGCCAACCTGCCTCTCACAT